TCTTTATTGCTTACAAAGTCATTATAAATATAGGTCAATTTTTTCGGATATCCCCCATATACGGATACCCCCCAATTTTCGGTATTTTTGGGGTTCTTGAGCGCGTTTTTCTACCGAATACGCTGAAATTTGGTACATTGAGTTCTTAATAAAGTATCTCTCTACTAAAAATTATGTATATAGGTACATTTTTTCGGATAGCCCCCATATAAGGGTACCCCCAATTTTCGGTATTTTGGGGTTCTTGAGCGCGTTTTTCAACCGAACACGCTGAAATTTAATACATTGGGTTCTTAATAGGCACAAAATCGCTCAAAAAAAAATTATAAATATAGGTCAATTTTTTCGGATATCCCCCATATACGGGTACCCCCCAATTTTCGGTATTTTGGGGTTCTTGAGCGCGTTTTTCTACCGATTACGCTGAAATTTGGTACATTGAGTTCTTAATAGTTTTCAAATCTCTCCACAAAATATTATGAATATAGGTCGATTTTTTCGGATAGCCCCCATATAAGGATACCCCCAATTTTCGGTATTTAGGGGTTCTTGAGCGCGTTTTCTACCGAATTTGCTGCAATTTGGTATTTTGTAGTCGTATATTTTTGGGGTAGTCCCCATATAACCCCCTTTTTATACCCTCCACCATAGTATGGAGGGTATATTAATTTTGTCATTCCGTTTGTAACGCATCGAAATATTCATTTCCGACCCTATAAAGTATATATATTCTTGATCAGGGTAAAATTCTAAGACGATCTAGCCATGTCCGTCCGTCCGCCTGTCCGTCCGTCTGTTGCAATCACGCTATCTTCTGAAGGAATTGAGATAGGGTGCTGAAATTTTGCATAGGGTTTTCTTTTGTCTGCAGGCAGGTCAAGTTCGAAGATGGGATATATCGGTGCACGTTTAGGTATAGCTCCCATATAACAGTACCTCCCAATTTTCGGTATTTTAGGGTTCTTGAGCTCGTTTTTCAACCGAATACGCTGAAAATTGGTACATTGAGTTCTTATTGGGTACTTAATGTCTCCACAAAAAATTATCGAAATATTCATTTCCGACCCTATAAAGTATATATATTCTTGATCAGGGTAAAATTCTAAGACGATCTAGCCATGTCCGTCCGTCTGTCCGTCCGTCTGTCTGTTGTAATCACGCTATCTTCTGAAGGAATTGAGATAGGGTGCTGAAATTTTACATAGGGTTGTCTTTTGTCTGCAGGCAGGTCAAGTTCGAAGATGGGATATATCGGTCCACGTTTAGGTATAGCTCCCATATAACAGTACCTCCCAATTTTCGGTATTTTGGGGTTCTTGAGCTCGTTTTTCAACCGAATACGCTGAAAATTGGTACATTGAGTTCTTATTGGGTACTTAATGTCTCCATTCTCCACAAAAAATTATAAATATAGGTCCACTTTTTCTGGTAGCCCCCATATAACGGTACCTCCTAATTTTCAGTATTTTGGGGGTTTTGATCGTATTTTTCCACCGAATTGGCTGTAATTTAGTATTTTGAGTTCCAAATCTCTCTATAAAAATTATGTATATATGTACAAAATCTCTCCACAAAACGCTGAAATTATAATATATTGGGTTCTTAATATATAAATATAGGTCAATTTTTTCGGATATCCCCCATATACAGGTACCCCCATTTTCGGTATTTTGGGGTTCTTGAGCGCGTTTTTCTACCGAATACGCTGAAATTTGGTACATTGAGTTCTTAATAGTTTCCAAATCTCTCCACAAAATATTATGAATATAGGTCCATTTTTTCGGATAGCCCCCATATAAGGGTACCCCCAATTTTCGGTATTTTGGGGTTCTTGAGCGCGTTTTTCAACCGAATTTGCTGCAATTTGGTATTTTGTAGTCGTATATGGTAACAAATATCCCTACCAAAAATTATTAATATTCGCCCCCTTTTTGGGGTAGTCCCCATATAGCCCCCTTTTTATACCCTCCACCATAGTATGGAGGGTATATTAATTTTGTCATTCCGTTTGTAACTCATCGAAATATTCATTTCCGACCCTATAAAGTATATATATTCTTGATCAGGGTAAAATTCTAAGACGATCTAGCCATTTCCGTCTGTCCGTCCGTCTGTCCGTCCGTCTGTTGTAATTACGCTATCTTCTGAAGGAATTGAGATAGGGTGCTGAAATTTTGCATAGGGTTGTCTTTTGTCTGCAGGCAGGTCAAGTTCGAAGATTGATATATCGGTCCACGTTTAGGTATAGCTCCCATATAACAGTACCTCCCAATTTTCGGTATTTTGGGGTTCTTGAGCTCGTTTTTTAACCGAATACGCTGAAAATTGGTACATTGAGTTCTTATTGGGTACTAAATGTCTCCACAAAATTTATGTTCCCAAAATTACGCATTTCCTAAACTACCTCAATCCAACAGTAATTTTAATTCCTTAAGTCTGGAGTGCAGCCTATCCGTTTGCACATAATCAAGTTGTACCAAACATAGTACCATTTAGTACACATAAGTACCTCAATCTTGTTTATATTAAAATAGTTATCTGAGTTTGGCTCTAAGACGCTATTGCAATCGTTTCACCTGCGGAGGATAGCGAGATAAACATTAGAACGTAAGGTTCTATAATGAATTATAGCCGCATTTAGACCTAGTCCCTGTATGGAGGTTTCAGAAGGAGTGGACCGATATTCCCCATCTTCGAATTTGAATTATCAATTAAAAATTTCTGAAATTTGTATTATGGTTTACATAATCCGTTTTTATACATGTCGGTATAGGTCCACTTTTTGGTATGTTCCCTATATTTTCATTTCTAGTACCTGTCAGTATATCTATGGGGGAGGGTATCCAAAGTTCGGCCCGGCCGAACTTAACGCTTTTTCACTTGTTTTATATTAAAATAGTTATCTGATTTGTTGCGCGTTTTTGGGTTTGGTTCTAAGACCCTTTTGTAATCATTTCAACTGCGGAGGATAGAGAGATAAAAAATTAGAACGTTAGGTTCGGTAGTGAACTATAGCCGCATTTAGACCTAGCCCCTGATTGGAGGTTCCAGAAGGATTGGACCGATATTCCCCATCTTCGAATTTGAACTAAGCTTGGAAGAAATAATAAGATGGGCAAAGTTCGGATGAAATCTAAATTTTCTGAAACGGATTTGGTCCAAAGAAACATGAGGTCTAGGACCAATATTTCGATGAGGCACATTTTCATCGTGTTAAAGTGTATACACCCTGATTAGCCATAAGGCTGAGGGTATAATTATCCTTTGAAAATTTCGAAAATTTTTATTATGGTTTACATAATCCGTTTTTAGAAATGTCGGTATAGGTCCACTTTTTGGTATGTTTCCTATATTTTCATTTATAGTAGCTGTCAATATAACTATGGTGGAGGGTATCCAAAGTTCGGCCCGGCCGAACTTACCGCTTTTTCACTTGTTTATATTAAAATAGTTATCTAATTTGTTCCGCGTTTTGGGTTTGGTTCTAAGAGTCTGTCGTTATCATTCAACCTGCGGAAGATATCGAGAAGGTTAGAACGTAAGGTTCGATAATGAACTATACATGAACTATAACCCGCATTTAGGCCTAGCACCTCTGTGGGAGGTATCAGAGGGAGTGGACCGATAGTCCACATCTTCGAACCTGAACTAAGTTTGGAAGAATAATAAGATAGGCACAGGTTGGATGAAATCAAAATTTTCTGGAACATGGTTCACATTATGGTTTACATAATCGCGTTGTAGAAATGTCGGTATAGGTCCACTTTTTGGTATTTTCCCTACATTTTCATTTAAGCTACCGTTTGGTATATCTATGGTGGAGGGTATCCAAAATTCGGCCCGGCCGAACTTAACGCTTTTTCACTTGTTTTTTGTTCTCATTGATGACTACACGTACTAATAAATTCCCCCGATCCCCCTCCCCAATTTTTCCCGCATCTTCCTTTTATTTTCTTGCTCCACAGCTGATATTTGTCTTCACGTGCGTCCGTTCGTTGACGCATAATCGCTGATTATTTACGTTGTCTCTGTGAATTCTACTGCTGATTGCTGCTCAACTGTCTGCTGTCGTATAAAATCGTCTAAACTATTTTGAATGCCCGAATCTTGGAAAATTCTACTGGAGTAAACGAATCTAATTGATGTATGCTAAACATCTTTAACAGTTGAGCCAACCTGGCGTATGGTGCTTTTACCGCCAAGTATCCAAGGAAAATAACGAAAAAAAGACCTAGCCCCTGTGTGGGAGGTACCGGAAGGAGTGGACCGATATTCCCCATCTTCGAACTATAACTAAGTTTGGATGAAATAATAAGATGGGCAAAGTTTGGATGAAATCAAAATTTTCTGAAACTAATATGGCCCAAAGAAACATGGGGTCTTAAACCAATATTTCAATCATTAGCCATAAGGCTAAGGGATGATTATTTATTAAAAATTTTTGAAATTTGCATTATGGTTTACATAATCGGTTTGCAGAAATGTCGGTATAGATCCACTTTTTGATATTTTCCCTATATTTTCATGTCAAGTACCTGTCAGTATATCTATGGTGGTGGTTGTCCAAAGTTCGGCCCGGCCGAACTTAACGCATTTTCACTTGTTTTGATAATCATATTTGGGTTGGTATAGATTTTGGCCGATGTCTTCGAAACCAATAGGTCTTTCGCAGTGATCCTTGCAGAAATATGATTTAAATATGTCCACAAACATATCCCATCATACATAATTCACTTTACATCTTTAGTATGCTGGCATTAAGCGTATATATTTGAATTTTGTCAATTTGTATTGAGGCAAAATACTTTTTACACTCACTGTACACACATATATAAACAGATAAATTAATAGACATAGCAGTTTCGGACATAAATTCATATCAATTGGGAAATATTTATATATCTAATTAAAATTTTTAATTTTTTACTCAACCCAAGGTTCCTTAATAATCAAAAACTGGAAACCCATACCATTGGAACATATTTCCGATAATCCCGTAGTTCCTGTACGTCAGTGGTAACGTTGCGCATTGTCATACTGCGCTGTAAGCCCCCACCATTTGGTGAAATAAAGGATCAACTTTTAAAACTTTTGGTATTACAATCTCATGCGGAATTTCGTTCAACCGGTTGTCCACTCGATGAGGTAAGTCACATGGTTTGCACATATATACATATATAAATCTCTTAAACGTACACACGGACAAAAGACAACTTTAAGGATCTTACTAGTTAAAATCTTATAAATTGTGCTTTTTGTTTTTCATTTCGAAGTTAGAGATTTTTTAAAGTTTGTGGTAGGGTGGGGGCTAAAGGGGATTATGTTGTCAAAATAAACGATAATAAATCTCTTGAAATTGCATAAGCTAACTCACGTTTAATTAAATGGGACAATGGTGTACAAGTGGGAAGTATTGTTTTGAAGGATACGTAGGAAATGAATATGGATGAAATTCTTCAGAAGACTTCTGACCCTATAGAATAACTTTTTAGACCTTCTAAATGCTATAAAACGTCTTCCAAAGATAGAACAAGTTCAAGTTCAAAATGCTTAATATGAATAATCTTCAGAAAATATGAATAATCTTTGTCAATGAATTAAAAAAAATCGTTAGCTTAAAACAAATCCACTCCTTGTAAAAAATCATCACGTATGGCTCCTTAAAAAACTCCTGAGTGTAGCTCCTCGAAAAAAATATTCATTAAAAACTGAATACTTATTCCTCATTGAAAAAATATCCGTTAAAAATCCAAGCTTCAAACTACTTGAACAAATATTCTAAATTAACTCCACTCTTATAGCCCTCTTAGAAAGTATTAACAACAAGTGAAAAAGCGTTAAGTTCGGCCGGGCCGAACTTTGGATACCCTCCACCATAGTTATACTGACAGATACATGCAATGAAAATATAGGGAACATACCAAAAAGTGGGCACCAATATGTACATCAAATACAAACTTCGGCAATTTTTTAAGGGGGTTTTTTCTAAAATCTGTAAGATCCAAAAAGTGGACGGATAACGCATTGTAGAGTATAAAATCATCAAACTACTGTAATTTAGATTACAAAGTTATATGAGGCTATGCTTAAAGAGGGACCAATATTGATTACATAGTGTAGGAAATAATGAATATTTGGGGATATCATCATATGAGGGCTATGCCTAATTAATGACCGGTATATGCCAAATATTTTAATTGTTTATCTCAATTCTTTCCTTCAGGATGTATCACTATATTGAGGATATGCCTAAATGTCTGCCGATATATTTCATTATCATCATGTTTGAGTTTTTTTATCACAATATCTTCAGAAGGCGGAATGCTTATGGCTAAATAGTCTTTGTAGGGTAAAAATTGACTATTCACCGTAACGACTACCCAACCGCAACACACGGAACAAATCAGATAACTATTTTAATATAAAAAGGGGGTTATATGGGGACTACCCCTAAAAAGCGGTGAATATTAATAATTTTTGGTGGGGAGATTTGTTACCATATACGACTACAAAATACCAAATGTCAGCGAATTCGGTTGAAAAACGCGCTCAAGAACCTCAAAATATCGAAAATTGGGGGTACCCTTATATGGGGTCTATCCGAAAAAATGGAGCTATATTTATAATTTTTAGTGGAGAAATTTGCTACCCAATAAGAACTCAAAGTACTAAATAACAGCAAATTCGATGAAAAAATGCGATCAAAACCCCCAAAATACGAAAATTTGGGGGGTACCGTTATATGGGAGCTACCAGAAAAAGTGGACCGATATTTATAATTTTTAGTTTAGATATTTGCTACCAAATAAGAACCCAATGTTCAAAATTTCAGAGAATTCGGTTGAAAAACACGCTCAAGAACCCCAAAATACCGAAAATTGGGGGTACCCTTATATGGGGGCTATCGGAAAAAATTGACCTATATTTATAATTTTTTGTGGAGAGATTTGGTACGTTTTAGGAACTCAAAATACTAAATTACAACCAATTCGGTGGAAAAATACGATCAAAACCCCCAAAATACTGAAAATTAGGAGGTACCGTTATATGGGGGCTACCAGAAAAAGTGGACCTATATTTATAATTTTTTGTGGAGACATTTAGTACCCAATAAGAACTCAATGTACCAATTTTCAGCGTATTCGGTTGAAAAACGAGCTCAAGAACCCCAAAATACCGAAAATTGGGAGGTACTGTTATATGGGAGCTATACCTAAACGTGGACCGATATATCCCATCTTCGAACTTGACCTGCCTGCAGACAAAAGAAAACCCTATGCAAAATTTCACCACCCTATCTCAATTCCTTCAGAAGATAGCGTGATTACAACAGACGGACGGACAGACGGACGGACATGGCTAGATCGTCTTAGAATTTTACCCTGATCAAGAATATATATACTTTATAGGGTCGGAAATGAATATTTCGATGCGTTACAAACGGAATGACAAAATTAATATACCCTCCATACTATGGTGGAGGGTATAAAAATCCAATCCAATAGACATCCAAAAAATATTTAAATAAAATATTTTTAGAAAATTCCAGCTTATTATAAAGTTCAACAAAATACTCTTACAAAAAATTGTTCAAATCGACTCTAAGGATTATTTGTCAAAAATTATTATTTTTTTTAATACGACGTTTCGGTAGACGTTCGAATTTTCTAAAACTTTCGGACAGATCTAAAATTATGTAGAGCTGCATAATCATCTTTTATTTTTCTCAACATCCAACTATTCCATTTTTCACCCATTTCTGTTCATATCAAAATCGCTTCGCTTTCCCCGGCGGTGATATATGGTGATATGTGGTGCAATTGAATGCCTTGGAATCGCAAGCCATTGGTTCTCAATAATGTCGTGTATTGGTTTAAGAATGCCCGGGCCGCCCTGAAACGTGTTGAAATGCGTGGTGGATTTGGGGGCACGCAGGGTGGTGGCAGTAGTGGTGGTGACAGCAGTGGTGGTGGCAGCAGTGTACGATCCCGTTTGCGATCTTCATATTTATGTTCAAACCACGTTCTTCTTATTTATGTTCAAAGGTTAAAAAACGCCAGAAATCAACAAGCAGCCAGCAGTCAGATTTAGTATAAATCCCACAGTCATAATTAATCTCTTTCCTAATAACTCCACACAGACATACATTTATACATACATACGGACATTACAAAAACCCGACGATAACGTAACAAATGCACCAACAATCACACCCTGCCAATGACCAGTGAAAGATTCTAAAACTCTGTTGATGGTACTGTGAAAGCTAAATTCCAAAATCCCTGTCCCATTTGGTAAGGAGAGGCTCTAACAATAGGTATACATACCAACGGTGATTCTTGTCGTTGTTACCAACAATGTTGGCTATATAATAACACTATCAATAACAGGTAATAACAATAACAACGACTAAAACAATTAACACATTAAATAGACGCCATAAATAACTAAATCACAGGTTTACCATTGAACAGCATGCAATTGATTTGTTATTTTGTCGTTTGAAAAACTTAACTGTCTTAAATGCCCCCTATCATGAAAATTCTCAAAAGGTTGTGGGCGATTCTCACAAAGTAATATACAACAAAAAACGGAAAATAACAATAAAAATAACTATTACAACAACACAAGAAATACAAGAGAATTTCTGGGAAATAGGAGCGTGCCAGCAAGCCAAATAAGTTTTCAAACTGAAAGTATATTTTTTTTCGAAATTAAACTTTAATAAATGTTAATATTTTGATAATAGAAGGGGGGCTCCCGTCAGATTAGTATGGTGGACGTGGGAATTTTAGGAAAAATGTTGTATATGTGGCCCAAAAATCCAAAATTCATAAAATTCACAATTATAGCTCAGATAGTCCTTTCAAAACTGTGTTCTTTTAATTCACAACTGTTGTAAAAATTATTAAAATATCCGCTTTTATAGGCCAGGAAGTCCCTCCCAATAATATCGTTTTAAGACCTTCCAAAAATAATTAAAAATCAAGCAATCAAAGTATAGAAAGTCCCTAAAAATATGTTTTTAAACAAATTTCACGATTATTGATCAGATACCCATTCCAGAAAGTCCCTCAAAAAATCCACTCTTAATGCTCTGATAGTCCTTGACATAACATTTGTTTAGTTTTTAATCCGTTATAAGAACTTAATAGTTCTATGGGGAATAGTCCTATGGGTATAGAAAATATATTATTGAATAGCCCCATATTACATATTATCATCTCATTTTCATTATTTTCAAGGCCCAGAACAATGATCTATAATGATCTCTGACTAGTGTTGTGAGTTTTTGTTTCAATTTGTAATCACTTCTGTGTGTATTAGAAGGTATGAAATGTTATCAAAAAAAAAAAAAAAAAAAAAAAAACAAAAAACAAAAATTACCCGGAACTAAAGCGAAACTACTTAATGGATATCAAGAAAACTTTTCGGTTAATTTTTTTTCTTTCAAAAAATCAAATCACTTAAGGCCCCTTTTGGAATGACAATAATAACAAACCAAAAAAAAGTAAATTCTAAATGGTGTAAGGAAAATGGGGATTCCGCCAAGGCAACCAAGGTGATTAATTGGTGATATAACACTTTGTTTACCATGATTTAGGGTCGTACCTCACCTCAAAAGTTAATTACATGTATTTCAATGAATATTACCCAAATACGCATTGCGTATAGACAGTCAAATAAATATTTTTAAAAATCCAAGCTTAGGATAGACATCCAAAAAATATTTAAATAAAATATTTTTAGAAAATTCCAGCTTATTATAAAGTTCAACAAAATACTCTTACAAAAAATTGTTCAAATCGACTCTAAGGATTATTTGTCAAAAAATATTATTTTTTTTAATACGACGTTTCGGTAGACGTTCGAATTTTCTAAAACTTTCGGACAGATCTAAAATTATGTAGAGCTGCATAATCATCTTTTATTTTTCTCAACATCCAACTATTCCATTTTTCACCCATTTCTGTTCATATCAAAATCGCTTCGCTTTCCCCGGCGGTGGTATATGGTGATATGTGGTGCAATTGAATGCCTTGGAATCGCAAGCCATTGGTTATCAATAATGTCGTGTATTGGTTTAAGAATGCCCGGGCCGCCCTGAAACGTGTTGAAATGCGTGGTGGATTTGGGGGCACGCAGGGCTGTGATATATGGTGATATGTGGTGCAATTGAATGCCTTGTGGTGGCAGTAGTGGTGGTGACAGCAGTGGTGGTGGCAGCAGTGTACGATCCCGTTTGCGATCTTCATATTTATGTTCAAATCACGTTCTTCATATTTATGTTCAAAGGTTACAAAAACGCCAGAAATCAACAATCAGCCAGCAGACAGATTTAGTATAAATCCCACAGTCATATTTAATCTCTTTCCTAATAACTCCACACAGACATACATTTATACATACATACGAACATTACAAAAACCCGACGATAACGTAACAAATGCACCAACAATCACACCCTGCCAATGACCAGTGAAAGATTCTAAAACTCTGTTGATGGTACTGTGAAAGCTAAATTCCAAAATCCCTGTCCCATTTTCACAATTATAGCTCAGATAGTCCTTTCAAAACTGTGTTCTTTTAATTCACAACTGTTGTACAAATTATTAAAATATCCGCTATTATAGGCCAGGAAATCCCTCCAAATAATATCGTTTTAAGACCTTCCAAAAATAATTAAAAATCAAGCAATCAAAGTATAGAAAGTCCCTAAAAATATGTTTTTAAACAAATTTCACGATTATTGATCAGATACCCATTCCACAAAGTCCCTCAAAAAATCCACTCTTAATGCTCTGATAGTCCTTGACATAACATTTGTTTAGTTTTTAATCCGTTATAAGAACTCAATAGTTCTATGGGGAATAGTCCTATGGGTATAGAAAATATGGGGAAAGCAAAGAGAGTGACTTCTATCCAATATCTTTTATATTTCTTCGCATGCCGATTTTTTATATATATTTTTTAATATCTTCTCTACAGAGATCTCCGAAATATCTTCTATGGATGTTTCTACCTCAGCAGTCCAGGCTCGTCATAAATATATTCCAACACCTCGTTTTGCTGCGATTTGAGCTGCGGCTATAATTCATTATAGAACCTTACGTTCTAATGTTTATCTCGCTATCCTCCGCAGGTGAAACGATTGCATTAGAGTCTTAGAGCCAAACTCAGATAACTATTTTAATATAAACAAGATTGAAGTACTTATGTGTACTAAATGGTACTAAGTTTGGTACAACTTGATTATGTGCAAACGGATAGGCTGCACTCCAGACTTAAGGAATTAAAATTACTGTTGGATTGAGGTAGTTTAGGAAATGCGTAATTTTGGGAACATAAAGTACTAAATAGTACTAAGTAGTCATGGTCCGTTTTGAGAATATGCATAGAATCACTTTCTCCGAATTGGGAGAAGTTTGGCCCAAGGACGAACCGTATTGAAATTGGGGAACTCGGTTCATATTTAGATATAGCTCAATATATATTTTCGTCCGATTTAAAATAAATGGTGCACCAAAGTCCTTATATACCTTTTGATTAGAACGAAATTTGGCATGGTGTACTGAATTAAGTCTAGAATGTTGTGTGCTACGTTTCTTGAAAATAGGTTCTGATTTAGATATATATTTACCCGATTTATGTAAATTGTGTACTAAAGACTCAAAGGTTGTAAGACTGAAACACAATTAATCTCATATATATGATCCGAATTGGGAGAAGTTTGGCCCGGGATCAATATTTAATCCGGATTAAGGGTTATAGACCCAGGATTAGGCTTAATCGGGATTAAGGGTCACTGATCCCGGATTAAGGCTTAATCCGGATTAACTGTCCTTGACCCAGGATTAATGCTTAATCCGGATTAAGGGACTTTTAATCGGGATTAAGGGACACTTGATCCCTTAATCCGGATTAAGTGTCCTTGACCGAGGATTAAGCTTTAATCCGGATTAAGGGCCATTTAATCGGGATTAAGGGGCACCTGATCCCTTAATCCGGATTAAGTGTCCTTGATCCAGGATTAAGACTTAATTGGATTAAGGGTTCTTGACCCAGGATTAAGCCTTAATCCGGATTAAGGCTTTATCCGGATTAAGGGTCACTTAATCCGGATTAAGGGACACTTAATCCGGACTAAGGAACACATAATCCGGATTAAGGGTCCTTGACACAGGTTTAAGGCTTAATCCGGATTAAGGCATAATCCGGATTAAGGGCCACTTAATCCGGATTAAGGAACACTTAATCTGGTTTAAGGATCCTTGATCCCGGATTAAGGCTTAATACGGGTTAAGGGTCATTGACCCCGGATTAAAGGTCACCATTTAACCTGAATTAAAGGTCATTGTCCCCGAATCGAGGGTAGACAAAGGGGAAGAGCTAGAATTCTGAAATTTTGGATGTGGTTCACTGATGGAAAGTTAGAAGTTTGTATATGCTCCATTTTAGAAATTATGTCTATGAAAAGTACTAAATTTGGTACTATCTGCATTTAGTTGAGCGTAAAGAGATTGAATACTTAAAAATAGGAACTAGGATTACTATTGGAGTACAGGATTGAGGTACTTATGTGTACTAAATGGTACTATGTCTGGTACAACTTGATTATGTGCAAACAGATAGGCTGGACTCCAGACTTAAGGAATTAAAATTATTGTTGGATTGAGGTAGTTTAGGAAATGCGTAATTTTGCGAACATAAAGTACTAAATTGTACTAAGTAGTCATGGTCCGTTTTGAGAATATGCATAGAATCACTTTCTCCGAATTGGGAGAAGTTTGGCCCAAGGACGAACCGTATTGAAATTGGGGAACTCGGTTCATATTTAGATATAGCTCAATATATAGTTTCGTCCGATTTAAAGTAAATGGTGCACCAAAGTCCTTATATATCTTTTGATTAGAACGAAATTTGGCATGGTGTACTGAATTAAGTCTACAATGTTGTGTGCTACGTTTCTTGAAAATAGGTTCAGATTTAGACATATTTTCACCCGATTTTAAGTAAATTGTGTACTAAAGACACAAGTTTGTAAGACTGAAACACAAATAATCTCATATATATGATCCGAATTGGGAGAAATTTG